GGTTTAATAAACAAGGGAACTTACTTATGAGGCTTGTCTTGGGCTGCTGCAAGATGAGTAGATTTCCACACCTGCCTGCCAGAATCTTAAAAGCTTTTATAGAGGCCTTACCTGGGTTGCCATGTACACCGTCCAGACGGTCTCAACACCACATTGCTCTCTCAAGGCTCTGTCCTTCTGGGAGCGGAAAGTCAAGTAGAACCCACATTCCAAGGACAGGAGAGGGGGTGAGGAGCCTCTGATTCCCTGGGTCCAGCTCACAGGTCAACCGGTGGTCACATCCTCTCCATGACCTTGCCCAATACCCAGCAGTGGAGATACTCTGAGGCTCCTCACATCCTCGTTGTATAGTTCTTATCTGGCTTCATTTTTTGGCTTAGCAAAAAAGGGCAGAAGAAATTTGAAAAATCCTCTCACTGCAACACTCTGTTAAGAACCTGTGGGCTGGGGCCGGCCCCGTGGCTTAGCGGTTAACTGCGTGCACTCCGCTGCTGGCGGCCCGGGGTTCGGATCCCGGGCGCGCACCGACGCACCGCTTCTCTGGCCACACTGACGCCGTGTCCCACATGCAGCAACTAGAAGGATGTGCAGCTATGACATACAACTACCTACTGGGGCTTAGGGGGAAAAATAAATAAATAAAATTAAAAAAAAAAAGAACCTGTGGGCTGAATGGACTGACCTGTTGACCCATCCACAAATCTGGCATTTGGCAAATAGGAAAAATGCCACTCATTGCAGTTACAAGTGGAAGCTGGCGTCCATCAGGGATTGGAGCTAACTGCCTTTGGGAGGGCTTTTGTTACGTTCTCCTCCAACTCTCCTCAGGGGTTCTCGGTTTCACTGTTTTGAATCGAGGATCCCTCCTGGTCCCTGTCTGGCAAAAGGTCAGCAGCTCAGAGTCGGGGAGCATGCACAAGGAGAAAGCCACGCTCCTCCTTCTCAGTCCTGCTGCCACCCCTCCAGCCTATCCCTTTGTGAAGGCTGGGTCTCTGCGCTCAGGAACTGCCCTGTAGGCATGGAGATGGAAAGCCCTTTTTCCCATCTTTAGAAAATGACATCCTTAAAATGTTCATACCAACTTTTCCCCAGGCTGGCCCCACATCTTCCAGAGCAGAGCCTGGCATCTTCATCACCCAGAGCAAGCTCCAGCTGCCAGAACAAGCCTTGCGAGGAAATAAACTCAGCCCTGGGCTCTCTGA